CAGTCCTAAACTGTACCCCACACCCTACTTGGCTCTGGGGCTACCCATTGCACTCAGGCCCCTCTCTGCATTTATTACGGGGTTAACTGAGTTTCTTTGTTCCTTAGTTTAACTTCTCACTCGTTTACCTGCTACCAGAATTTGCTATAACCAAGACTAGGACCAACCCAAGACAGTAAGACTTGGTTTTTTTGTTTTTTTTTTTTTTTGGTCTTTTTGAGACAGGGTCCCCCTGCAGCCCCAGCTGGCCTGGAACTCACTATTGTAGACCAGGCAGGCCTGGAACTCACAGAGATCCACCTGCCTCTGCCTCCCAAGTGCTGGGACTACAGGTGTGCGCCACCACGCCCAGCTACAGCTTATAATCTTTTGAGCTGGCATCCAAACACAGTCTTCAAAGCCAAAATTTCTCCAGTGCAGGTTACATTTTATAGACTATGAAATTATGTCAATTAGCACATTAGTATGATCAGTGCTTTTAGAAGAATAAATTTCTAAAAAAATCCCTAGGATTTTTTTTTTTTTTTAATTCCCAGTAGCCTGTTTTTTACTCTCTCCTCTAGGGATGGGGGACTGCTGGCATGGGGTGTCACCTTCTCTGTTTTCAGGTTTCCTGGGAACAGTGGCAGCGCCACATTCCTAGTTGCAGGTGTAGCAGTACTTAGTGGCTTTAGCTCTGAGGCCTGTAGAATTGTGAGCTTCCTCTGTCAGCGTTCATCTTTTCAAAACTCTGTGTTGCCATCAGACAGGGAACAAGAGGGTCCTGAGATCCAGAAAGTTAACATGTGATACCAGAGCACCAAGCTTTGCAGCAGGTTATGCCCCAAGGGCAGCCAAGGTTCTAGACTGCCCAGACCAAGAGCCAAGTAGCTCTAGAGCTGTCCATCCCCCACCAAGCTTGTTACAACAGGAGCCAAGGAGGCGTTCCTTCTTGACCTTGGAGACTTGCTTGACTCAACCACTTTCCTGGCCAAACCTCAGGGCTCAACATAAAACAAGTTCCTGCCTGATGGCTGGATCTGAAGTTTGCGGTATAGCATCTAAAATCCATTCTCTCAGAGATAGCATATAAGGACTTTGTTCCTTTGTTGTCTGGCTTTAACAGGAAAAGATACTGGGGCTCTTAATCCAAGCCAAATACCCATAAAGATTCCTTCCCTCCCCAGATTTTATAGGGGGCTGAGAAACACAGCTAGGATTGTTGGGAAATATTAAGCTATCCAGAACCTCAGCCAGTTAGCTGTGAAATTGCCTACTTCTCACATTTGAAAGCTGAGATGGCTCTGCATTGTAGCCCTGGAGTCCTCGCTCAGGTTTGAGGGAGTCCCACATGCTGAGCTTAGTTTTCATAGGTGGCTTAGGTTTTCTGGATGTTCTTATAAGCCTGGGTTTGCACTGCAAAGGCTGTGTGCTTCCTTCCCACAGAGGGCCTGGAGGAGCTGGTGAAGCAGAAAGGCTTTCTGGATGGGGTCTACTCATTTGAGTATTACCCCAGCACCCCTGGGAAATACAGCGTTGCTGTCACTTGGGGGGGACATCACATTCCGAAGAGGTGAGTCTAGGCTGGTGATGAGGAGAGGTGCATTGTTTGGAGGCATGTTCGGCCCAATGTAGGCTCGAAGGACGTTGCTGCTTCCCAGGCTGCCAGAGGAAAAAGAAATCCGCTTTGTTGAACTTTTTTTTCCCTCCTCCTCTCAGAGCAGCACACAGACGTTTGGCTTGTTCTCAAAAGCAGCAGAAAGTTGCTGTGGTTTCAGTTGCCTTGCTTTAAATCAAATGCTGGTGGTTTGGACCTGGTGGGAGGCAGGGAAGTCAGAAAGAGCTATAATAGAGAGCAAATGGACTGTGTGTCTATACGGCCTTATATAAACCAAGGTTCTCCTTTTCAATGAATGCCTCTGTTCACAAATGCCACAGGGGCACATTCTGCTGTGGTTTACATTAAAATCATCTACATGAATGCTGTCAGGGACCAAGGGACCCTCGCTGCAGGTTTGCTTGAGGGTGTTTCAGTTTCCTCTCTGTACTCCTGTGTTTTGCAGCTCTCCTGGGGGCAACTTAAACTCTAAATACATTTCATTTGTCTTGAGAAATAGTTGGGCATTATAGTAGTTCCCCACCCCCATGTCCATGAGAGATGCCATCTAATACCCCCAGTGTATGTCTGAAACCCCAGACTGTCATATGCTGTCTAGACATGCATACACACAAGAAAGTTTAATTGATAAAATAGGCACAATAAGAGATGAATAACTGGGCCCAGCTTGATGGTGCACGCCTTTAATCCCAACACTTGGGAGGCAGAAGCTTCCAAGCCAGGGCAACAGGGAGACCCTTTCTCAAAAAAAACAAAACAAAAATCAAAGATTAATAATGATGATTAATATTAAAAGAACAATTATAGCTGTAATGAACAAAGTCTTGCTGATACAGTATTCTACTGTACTTGGTCTTCCTGTGCTCTTAGATGACTAGTGCCTATGTGATGAGATAAAGTGAAAAGATAATATAGGAATGGTCACAAAGCACGGGACCACTACTGATCGTCTAATGATACATGCTGTGGATCACGTTTGGCTTCATAGAACAGAAACTTTAGAAAGGAAAACTGCTAAGGGGGAACGGTTAAATAGTGTTTTCCGTGTCTAAGCACACTTATTTTAAACATTTGATGCCAAAGTTAAAGCATGGTTGATCACATAGGAATGAAGTAACACACACTTACACTAGTTTCCTTGTTATAGCATAGATAGGATAGGATCTAGAGAAGTGTGGATGTTCTTACCTCTAAGGCTCACGATCTAGATGGCCCTGCATGCAAAAGTCACTCATGAGCAAAATACAGCAAGTGTGTTGCTCGAGTGTCAGCCCAGTGGCCCCAGCTCCTGAAGCACCAATGTTACATTATATTGTTGACATAACAATGGCTGTGGGGGGACCTCTGTGGAGGAAGGCAATTGCCTGGAGTTTGGGTCTCCATGCAAAGATCAGGCAAGTGGAAAGAATGTATGCTAAGAGTTCATTGCTATGGTTGGCCCCTTCATGTTCTTCTTTACTGTCCCTTCTCTTCCCTGCCTTCTAGTCCCTTTGAAGTTCAAGTTGGCCCTGAAGCAGGCATGCAGAAAGTCCGTGCGTGGGGCCCTGGTCTCCAAGGTGGGGTTGTTGGTCGGTCGGCAGACTTCGTGGTGGAGTCTGTTGGCTCTGAAGTGGGGACTCTGGGTAAGTAGAGGTAACTGCCCAACAGCTTCTGTAACAGTGCCTGGTGTTGTGGCATCACACAGCCTCCTGGCCTCCTGACCATCCAGCACCTTCTCTGGATGCTATAGAATTCTACTTCCTATTTTTGTTCTCTTCCGCTTGCCTAGAGATCTTTCATTCACTAACCCTTGAGGGGAAAGACCTTCTGGAGGGTTTATACTAAACAGTGCATGGAATTTAATAGACAAATACTGGGACTGACCCTTAGTTTAGATGGATGAATGAATGAATCAATGAATTCTGCTAAAATTTGAAAAAGTAAATATATTAGTTGTTGCATAATTGAATGTACTTTAAACACACGTCTGATGAAACATAATCATGATGGTTGGGAGTCAGCAAACTTTTTTAGAAAGAGCCACATAGCAAATACTTTCACCTTGTGAGCTATAGGATTTCTGAGACAATTATGTGACTCTGACATTGTTGCTTTAAAGCAGCCATTAAGATATGTAAATGAACGGGAGTGTCCGTATTTCTGTAAAACTGTATTTACAAGAATAGAAGTAAGCTAGATTTGGTCCTTGAACTATAACTTACTTGCCCCTATTTTAGGTGTAACAATAAGCAAAAGAGGGAAAAAAATTTTAAATAATTTTCCCCACTAAAAAGATTAATCATTTTGGGGTGTATACTTCCAGTCTCTGGTAATTAGTATTTAACCTTTAAGTCCGCCCCACATACACATATGCAAATGCTAATCTGTCCCATAAAGTATCTGTGGGAAGTCTTCATATTTTTATGCCCCAGATAAGTATAGGTAATGCCTTCATTTCCCATGGCTTCTGTGGAATTCCATTGTGTAGATATGTCTTGGGCTCTCCAGTTACTTCAAAGATCTTGCTATATAAACAATGCTGAGTGCGTATCCCTACTCAATTCCAAGCCCAGAAGTCAGTTTAGTCAAATGAGTATTGGTTTAAGACTTTTGGTACACACTGTCATATCACCAATAGAAGAATTTTTCTGTTCCTTGTCCCCTGCCTCCTCCCATCCTGTGCCATGAGATCTGAAAATCCAGAACTATCCAATCTAACTCTTCCATCTCTAGTTAAGACATCGTAACCTTGGTTCTGTGGGAAAGGAACATGTTTCATTTTCTGGCCAGTACTTACTTTCCAGGAGGCAGAGGGAAGGAGATGGTAGTAACAGAGTAGATAACTTCTCACCATGTTTAACCAGGAAGGCTCTTCTACCCCATCCCCAGGGTTCGCCATTGAAGGCCCTTCCCAGGCAAAGATTGAGTATGATGATCAGAACGATGGATCATGTGATGTCAAGTACTGGCCCAAAGAGCCTGGAGAATACGCTGTTCACATCATGTGTGATGACGAAGACATCAAGGACAGTCCATACATGGCCTTCATCCACCCTGCTACTGGAGACTACAACCCCGATCTGGTGAACAGCTCATTCTGCTTCTGCCCCCTCTTTCCTGCCCCCCGCCTCCTTTGCCTCTGTCCCTGAGGAATTATTACAATTAACATGTCCAGAGATGGCAGGGAAGAATGGGTTCGCTCTTAGTGGGATTCAGCACTTTTATGTTGTTGGGCAAGTGAGGTAGCTCTCTGACTCTTGGCATTTTCATCTATACACTGAGAATAGAAGTGTCTCCTAGAGTTTCTGGGATGATCCAAGGGCATGATCTTTGGGGCTCCTCTTGCTCCTTTTTGTAGTTATTATTTCAGTGTGCTTCGGAGACAAAAGCTGTCACCACTCCCCCAGTTCTGCTTCTCTGAAACTGGAACAGTGTTTCTGAGAGCTTCCTCTCTAGCCCTTTGCAGTCCTCTAAGCATCAAGTTTGAGGCAGCCTAGCTGACCAAAAGCCCCCATACCTCCACCTCCCCATGTGTGCTGTTTTCGGCTTACTTGACCAGCTGCCCACAGACTGCCTTCAGTGTGTGCTGATTGATGATATCTTGGGCTCACTGCTAGTTCTTTGCTTTCTGGCGGTTGCAAACTTTGCACTAAAGGTTCTACATCTCCTCAGGCATAGCCAAAGGTCTCTGCCCCAGGAAGTTCTGTCAGCTCTGAGTAAGGCAGGGGGCCTGGGTAAGTTTGGGTTTAGTTTTAGAACATTTTTTCCTTCATGAAAAGCTATAGATGTTATTTATTTTTACGTTGTAGTCTACATTGGCATTTTGTTCCCCACAGCCATCCTTAACTAAGCTTGAGGTATTTTGTGCTTCCCCTTCCCCCATCCCATTCCCCAGTGACATAGAAAGAGAATCATTATTGGCTCTTTGCCCCAGGTCCAAGCATATGGACCGGGTTTGGAGAAATCTGGTTGCATCGTAAATAACCCCGCTGAATTCATTGTGGATCCAAAGGATGCTGGAAAAGCTCCCCTGAAGATACTTGCTCAAGTAAGTTTCTGGGCCACTTGCAGTTGTCAAATGGAAAGTGTAACAGCAAGTTGATCAGTGCATCTGGGCCTCAGTTTTCTGGTTCCAAGAATATTAATTATCTCAAGGGGTTGTATGAAGATTCCAGGGGCATTTTTCCTGATCTTTGTGATTTATGCTCTGGATAGAGAGTTTGTTTCAAATTTCTCTAATGAATCTTTCACTTTGGCTGAGTCTACCTAGGCCCTGATGGGAGCCTTATAAACAGAGTTCAAAGTATGCTTATCTAATTTAATTGAAATTAGCCAAAGGGCTTAAATGTAGGAATAAAAATTAAGATAAGTGCTGAATGGCCATGGCTTTGGGGAAGGTGAGGGTAATATTTACTCTTAGTGATTACAAGTGAGTAAGTGGAGCTGGGCATAGCAACATGTTCCTGATTCCTAGTAAGGTAGGAGAATCAGTTGAACCCAGGACTAGAAGACCATCCTGAGCAACCTAGTGAGGCCTGGCTCAGTTTTTAAAAAAAGAGCATTGGATGTTTAGTTACCTGTTGGCACCATAGAGCGTGTTGTGAATGCTGTGTATTTTAAGATAAGTTAGTGGTATCTTGTCTGTTCCTAGAAGCCACAGTGGCCCCTCTTAGTGGAGGCAGTGTGAGGGCCACCTCTGTTCTCACTCCACCTCTTTTGCAGGATGGGGAAGGCCATCCCATTGACATCCAGATGAAGAGTCGGATGGATGGTACATTTGCCTGCTCATACACCCCGGTTAAGGCCATCAAGCACACCATTGCTATTGTCTGGGGAGGTGTGAACATCCCACACAGCCCCTACAGGGTAGGTTGTGAAATGAATACCAATTGTGTTTAAAACAAAACAGAACAGGACAAAACAAAAAAAACCCTAGTTGTTTGAGTCTGGGCTCTGTGCCAAAGCAGATGCATGAAAAAGAACTCATTCTGGATAGACCCTGAAAAGTGACCTGGCCTGAAGGGCAAGACACCCTTGATTGCCCCAAAGACCATTCCTAGTGATGTTTTTCTGGATCTAAGAGAAGGAATATTTGATTTATTTCTAGATCATATCTTTTCTAGGTCAACATTGGGCAAGGTAGCCATCCCCAGAAGGTCAAAGTGTTCGGACCAGGCGTGGAGAGAAGTGGTCTGAAGGCAAATGAGCCTACTCACTTCACGGTGGATTGTACAGAAGCTGGGGAAGGTAAGAACAGGCTTCATCCACCCCAGTGACTTCTGCTCCATAGGAAGTAGTCCATCTCAGCAGTAATTGTTTACCTGATGAGCTCAGTTGGTTCTTTGGTCATAGTTTTGCTAAGCCTCTATGCTTCCTCTTTCAAAACCCTGACCTACCCTGGTCCCTTTCCTTAGGTTTCTTACTGGAAACGTCCCTGTTGTTCTCATGGGGTGTTAGCCCAGCTGGAAGTGATTGAAGGGGACTTGCTGCTTCTTGTAAACTGGTGCTAATAAGCTGTCTGTTCCAGGTGATGTCAGTGTTGGCATTAAATGTGATGCTCGAGTGTTAAGTGAAGATGAGGAAGATGTGGATTTTGACATTATTCACAATGCCAATGACACATTTACAGTCAAATATATGCCTCCTGCTGCTGGGCGATACACTATCAAGGTTCTCTTTGCATCTCAGGTGTGTGTTGTGGCCTAAGAGGGATAGAAAGGAGTGGCCTGGTCTGTTGGCCACCTGTATGTATATCTCCTTTTTCATTTTCTACTGTTTTTTTTTTTAAGCAACTAGGGAGGTGTCTTGAGAACTACATTAAGTGTTGTGCTTCATTGTTAAAAAAAAAAAATCTAGAACTAAATTTTCACTACTTTTTAAACAGAAGTGAAGCATAGACAGTGGTAAAAGTAGGACAAGGGACTGACTTGTTAAAACTTTCATTAAGCTTTTAATTAGAAAGTTAAGCAACTTCTAGATGTGTTCCATTTTGACCTCTTAGAAGTGATGTCTGGTCTCTGCCCTTAAACTTCTATAGCAAAAGGCTTTCTGAAGTGTCAGGTGTGTGATAATGACGATCAGGTAAACAGTACTCTGACACCAGGTATTTTGAAACCCTAATGATTACAATTAACTTTATATAAGAAATAGGAAGCTCAGGAGAACAGTCTGTGCCTCAGGTTAATGGTCTTGCGTTGATATGATCCAACTAATTTATTCTACTTTTAATCTGGCAGCCTCTAAATTCTTTCTGAAGAATTACAGGCATTCTATTTCTGATTACTTCCTTGGAATCCCCACACAGTCATCCCTGGAGGACATTTCTCTCATCCTGACCCTGTAGATTGTTGGTTTTGAATCTATTCTGGGTATTATATTTTTTTTTCTTAGCCCCCAAACATCTGGTGTCCAGTGCACAACGGTGTTTGTGCCGTCAAGGTTTCGGATCTATACTTCCTAATGCAGACTTGACCCGTAGTAATGGAAGTCGCTCATCACTTGCTTAAAGTACATATTATGCCAGTCTTTGTCCTTTGTGTTTGGGCAGAAGCCTAAACTCTGGCAGTTGTTCAGGGACTTTCCTTCTAAGACAGTGTCTTTGCTTCAGGAAATCCCCGCCAGCCCTTTCAGAGTCAAAGTCGACCCTTCCCACGATGCCAGCAAAGTGAAGGCAGAAGGCCCAGGGCTCAGTAAAGCAGGTAAGATGGCAGGTAAGGCTGCCCCAGGCTTTCCACAGCCAGTGGCACTGGGTGTGTTCCATCCAGACCTCAGGGACTTGTCGGACTTATCTCCACCGAGAGCTCTGATGTGGCAGGAGCAGTGTGTCTGCCTTGTCAATGGCTGCTGCTGTGGAACTTGTCAGACTGGTTCTAAAAGTGAAACCTCTCCAGCCAACACTGTCTTCTCATTTCACGGTATATCCTTTCAGGTGTGGAAAATGGGAAGCCGACCCACTTCACTGTCTACACCAAGGGGGCCGGAAAAGCTCCACTCAACGTGCAGTTCAGCAGCCCCCTCCCTGGTGATGCAGTGAAGGACCTGGACATCATCGACAATTATGACTACTCACATACTGTTAAATACACCCCGACTCAGCAGGTAGCGTCCTTGTACCCTCCTCTGTTGGCCAGGTGCTTTCCCACAGTGCTGAACTGTAGACAGCAGAGGAGTGATCAGAGTTGTGGAGGTGCCCCCCTGTGTGAAGGGGCTCTCCAGACCTTTTGTCCTCACCCTCTCTGGGAGCCTTGGAAGAAAGAAAGCCTATGACACGTGCATGTTCACACTCACTGTCCCATACTTTTCCTCTGCTTCTGCCTTTAGTTGTAGAAAAAGAGCTCCCACACCTGAAGTTTTCCTCGCTGGCCCTTTTAGCATAGTTTACTTTTTTATGAGGTGTTTTAGTGGGCTCTTTTCTCAAAGAACCAGTTCAACTTTTAATCCCTAAGGCCCAAAGCACACTGTTTAGGCCAACAAATTGTTTCCTTTTACAAAATGCAGGAATTCTGATGAGTCTGCCATCTAGGCTGATTTGTTATTTTATGCAACCAGAGTCCAAAAACCACCCTTCTACACAAGTTCATGTCTGTTTAATTTTTAAAATTTATCCTTTTTGTGGCAAAATTGACACGTTACCAAATGCTAAAGCCTATAGTTCAGTGGCATAAACTACATCGATCATACTGTGCAGGCCTCACCATCCACCTTCCAATACTTTTTTTTTTTTTAAAACTTGCAACACTGAAATTCTCTGCCCATTATATTTGTTTAAGATTGTGTTTTGCTTCATGTTCACACCTCCAGAGTCTGGACAGCAGACATCCTGGCAGGAAAGTCTGGATTTTAATACTCACGCCTAGTGTTGTAAACAGTCATTCTAATCCCTGAGATTCCTTCATTCTGGGAAGGAGAGAGAGAGAGAGAGGGAGAGGATCCCCTGTGTGAAAAATGCCATTTGCAGGACAAAGGCCATGCTGTCTGCAGAAACCTCGTTCAAGCCTCTCTTTGTCTGGGCCCTCTCAGCAAGGGGCTGGCAAGATTCAAGTGGGGAAGAATACAGGGTACGGGAAGAATGGGGGTGTCTGACTCTCCCTCTTTGGGGGTTATATATCCTTAGAGATAACATCTTTCCTATGAAAACTTCCCTGATAGTGCAAAGAATTCTCTGTGGCAGGATGTAAGCATCACACATAAGTGTGGCCTCTTTCCTCCACACTCACTTCTTCCTGTGCTTTTAAAAAGGCCTGCTGAGGGGCTGGAGAGGTGGCAGAGCCTTTGAGAGCACTGGCTGCTCTTGTAGATGATCTGGGTTTGGTTCTCAGCACCCATATGGTGACTAACAGTTGTTCTTAACTCCAGCTCTGGGGGATCTGGACACCGTCTTCTGCCTTCCTTGGGCATTGCACACACACAGTACAATTACATACACACAGGCAAGATGCTCACACACATAAAATAAAAAATTAAAAAAAAAAAGTACTTGCAACCAATCCTGATGACCTCAATTCCACCCCCAAGACCAACAACGTAGAAAAAAAGACCCGCTCGGGTCAGGACTTGCGTGCCGGGCTTAGTTTGGGGGGGCTTTTTATAGAGCAGAAGCAAGGTACAGAAGCAGATGCATGGTTACAAGATTATTATTAGTGCATTTCAATGGGTACAAGGTATGAGGAAACAGTATTGCCAAATTCAGAGGGGGCTATGGGTGAAACTGATTGTTATCGTTAACTTCCCAGTAGGGGCTGTTATCACTAACTTCCCGGTAGGGGCCTCAGGGTGGTGGCAGGTGGTCCGACTGCAAACGTCCTATCTTCCACTGCTAGTTTCACAAGACCTGGGTTAGAATCTTGGCTTATCGAATGGCTGATTACAGTTCTTTTTCTAAAATGGCCTTCCTGCTGTCAGTCGGGTCCTTCATGATAAAAGTAGGTTTGAGGACTGTTGGCATGCTAGAGGCCTCTTGGGGCTGTTTATCCAAATGCTGGCTGTGGTATGTCAGGGGAGCCTGGTACAGTCTTGGTGTTAATTGCTGCCTAGTGTAAATACCTTGCACATTGCCTGTGCAGTCCTTCTTGTTGGCTGTTTAGAGGGAGCCTGACAGTTTCATTGTTTTATTTCCTGTGGCAAAGAAAACTGATGGCATCGCTCCTCCAGGACTGTTGAGTTCCCCAAGGATAGGACACCATGTCCCGCATAGCCCCAACCCTAAGCATCAGACGTGGAACCTTAAGTGCTCCATGTGGATTAGCAGTTGAATGATGCGTAAATGACAGGGTGCCTCACTTCATAAGCTCAGCTGCCCTAGGAACATTGTTATCTGGCAGAAGTTGGGACACATAGCCTCATTTTCATTTAAACTCTCGTTTATCGCAGGAGCTGAAACTCCAGATTGGGTAAAGAATGTACCTATGAACTGTGCTCTGGGATACAGTTAAGTCCTAGGATAACCAGAGAGCTATCCCACACTGGAGAAAAGGATACACTTTGAGGGCAGATACCCATGGGCATGTCTTTTTCATGATGAGCTTCTGGGAATACCAGACTAAAACTTTCCAGAATGGCAGCTACTTCGTTTATGTGGAGAGACATGGGTACTCCCTTCTCAGAATGTGGACTGTACTTCTGAGGAGCTACAGCCCTGGATGCTTGAGGAACCACGGCCTGCTCCCTGCTAGTCCCTGAGTGACAGTCTGTAGGTATCCACTTACAGTAGACAAATGATATAGGTAGTTGGATGTATCTGTCATGATGGGCCAGAACTATTTTTTGTTACAGAGGAGTGGACATGATGGGTCGGGCTGGAGGACCTTCAGAGGTGAGAAAAACAGTGTATTTTACAAAAGAATTAGCTTTTGCCCAAGGATATTGCTTTCTTTGCCTTTGCTTGTCTGTGGCCTCAAGTGGCTTAAGTTTCTTATCCCACACCTCTCCATGCAGAATGGTTTGAGAAGCTGGGGACAGACAGCAGCTCCATTGGATGCTGTGTCAGGAGTCACTAGGACCAAGCATCACCACATACTTCTGTAATACCATCAGGAAACCCCTTTTGTTCACAAGCCTCACAGAGTAGCAGTTCCTATGTTGAAATTTTCAATACAGT